TCACAGACATATGACCATTAATTGTACGTTCGCGATATTTATATTTTATCTGTGGTCACTGAAAAATCAAGAATAAGAACGTTTCATTACTTATAAACACTTTCTCATTTTTACATTTTACGGATTGTGTCTCTTGTGCATAAAACTGGCATCATCAAAACAACTTAGGGCGTTTGCTACTGTAGTCATGGCAACGATATGCTAGTCCCACAGGAAGCTTGCCGCACGAGCCACTTGTAAACTTAATGTTGTATACAATCAACTATAACGATGAATTATGTTCCTGCCAATAAGTTGAGCGAATATTATTAGTTTCTTTTATTGATTTGTTTTGGATCGGAAAAAACATGATATTGGTCGCAGAGATTGTATGAATATTTTGCTTCAATATTAATGGCGGGAAAGGCATATATTGAACGGGACTGTTTTGTGAAAAGTGTCAGTATATGACAATGGCAGCAAGAAAAACTACACGAGACGTATGAATTTACTGTACCAGGCTGTTTACTGTTCGTATCCTTCCTTTGAAAAGAACGATCTGCCGATGACTTATGTGCAAATTACTGTTAACTATCATCAATCTTATTATATTTTTGTTAAATGCAAATTTGAAAATACTTCAAATAACCACGAACCAAATAAACGCGATTCAATTAAAAATATCACATTGCAAATATAATGCTAACAAACATCCGAACAGCATTCGATGTATTGAACAAGACAAATACTGGTCCGTGGGAAAATGTAAGTACATTTATGCGGCCCCTCCATTATATTTCAAGTTGCCCGCTCAGTTTGAATACTTGAGCACGGATACCGGTGTGCAGCTGTGCACGTAACTACGACATTTGATCGCCACAGTCGGTGCTTCATTAACCAAACCTCGCCAGCATCCTCAGTTTGAGGCTCGGATCATCTAGTCTTGAAACCGAATTTAATCGTGGAAATGTACTACCTGGCGCCACCACAGTGTTTCTAACCTGTTTAAACTCTAGTTGACTAATGCTAAAATAATATTTAGATTACTTCGACATTTTAATATACATCTTAGAGAAAATGCTGCTCCTCGTAACAGAAACAACGGTAACCGAGTAATACCGAGTGACACGAAACAGTATGAAGGTAAACGAGTTAGGACGAACCGGGAAGTGCCTGCGGCAAAATTCAACGATAAACTAAATTAAAACTATACATTTTGTTCATGCTTTTGCTATCACTAATCAATTTTGTGTGATAAAAATTGGTTTATCACATATGGTACGAGTGGTCTCTTTGACCCGATAGTAAAAAGTGACCTTAATATTCGACGACTCGTCAAATATGAAAAGTATTTTTCACTATACGGCGTGAACTATATATTTCAAACAGAAAACAAGACACTTTGCGGAGGTTGAAAATTAAACAGTACAATCTATTGCATCACATTTGAAGTGCGCCCCTAACCGAACACCCTGCGTCACTCTATTGTGTAAGTGGAATATGTGAAAGTGACAACTCAAATCGTGATACGGCTTCTCTCGTGTAATATTACTTTTTGCTGTGAATGTCAATAACGCACGTTGCAATGACCACTGACCTCATCGTTGCAATGACCACTGACCTCATCGTTGCAATGCATATGAGCATTTGCAGTATATGTGCAGGAAGGGAGAGGAGGTACTTTTATTGGAAGCTGTATGTATGCGGTCACGTGCTACCACATGGCCTCTCCTTTTGTGCAAAAGTATCCGAGGCCTACAATTCCGGTATTCATTACCGAAACTATATATAAAGCTCAAAAATCGCTAAAATATAGTTCAAGTAAAAGAAAGTGTAAATTCCAGCAGTCATTTTGGTGCTAATAATGAATTATGACTGTCAATAATGGAAAGAATAGCACATATTATCTGGCTCCATTTTGTCTGTCACATAAGTGTGAAAAATTATTTGGCAATAATGAGGGTCACTAAAAGTTGACGGGACTTGCCATTGCCATTGCCACGTTATTTGTGTGGTTAAAACTGTGTCAACACTAGAGCACATCTAAAACAACCCTATCTATATAGAACAACATAATAATTATAAACAATATTGCCTTTAGGCAGAATAATCCTCGTAAATATCCATAAGATCAATGAGACATTTTATCTTTTCTCAATAATTGTGTCAATTATTTCTGTCCTAAAAGTAAAGTAAGAATATGTCACTGTGAGTCGATTCCTCATCAATTTAAATTGTATATAATATTAAAATCGCCATATCGTTGAAACCCTGGATGGCGGCCATTTTGAAAAAAAATATTGCAATAATTGGTCACGCGTAATATGTGGCATTTATGATGCATTAAGTTGAAAATAATATCGCATGTCATGTGAATTGTGATTGGCTATTTCAAAATATACGTTTACAGATGCAAAATTTAATACAAATCTTAGAATATGTCGAATGATGAAATTTGTTTTGTCACGTGACGTGAACGTACAACCTAATTCAATTTCTCTTTAAAAAATAATTCACCGGGCTAATTGCTTTTAAAACCTCTGCAAAGGTAAACTTTGACCTAGTTTTGCGCTATAGGGCAAGCCACTTACATACATTCGAAGTAGGGCTACCCATATTTGGTCTTGAAAAAACATAATTTGTACATTATCGAAAGAAAAGGTTAGTTCAGTCAGAATACGAATTGTGTCATAAATATTGATTAATACTACACTTCATGAATACACATTGGCTGGATTAGAAGGATTGGACTGCAGGACTGTGACGTAGGAATCATTCAATGAATGACTCAAGACGGCAAACAACGAACACAATAAATACAACCGAGAGAAGACAACTCTCCGATAACGACAGCGACCTACTCTACAGATAACCTCAAACGCTAAATGTACACTTTAAGTCAGCTATAATTCGACTGATTATTATAAGTAAAATATATCGGGTCAGCCATCTGACAGCTTGTTTGCGATTTCTTCAGTGACACCGATATAGATCATCGACGTATGACCCATTTCAACGGGTAACCCCACGCAATACAATGTCACATACCAATCACTGAAACCGCTACAGGTCGAAACGGTGGTCCCAACAGACTTATTGTCGAGAGGTTGTGTGTGACTGTAACTCTACAAGTGTCGTCATTGTTTTGACAGCGATGCAAGATATATGTTCAACCACATACTATAAAAAACTGTGGCGTGGCATTTGAATTATCCCTTTCACCACCAGTCCCCTCTTTTCATCACAAATTCACAAAATAGTCCTTTTTATAAGTCTGCACTTTCCTTCAGGAAATTGGGACAAAAACATTTTTGGGGTAA